CAAATCATGACAACCTTTTCAGCCCAGCCAGTCAGAGCCTGGCATAGCTTCCCAGCCTTTACCACCCAACCACCCAACCAATCAGATTATGGCTCTGCTCTCAAGTCTTTTCAGCCCAACTAAACAGAGGGCACAGGTACTTCCCATCCTTGGAAGACAACCAATCAGAACATGGTGCTACTTCCTCCTTTTGAGCTCGGAGTGTGGCTCTGCTTCCCATTCATTACTACCCATCCAGTGAGAGCACCCACTGCTTCCCAGGCAGAGGGAAACCAGGATGTCGGCACTCCTCTGTCCCATCGCCAAAGTCTCCTCTAGCATCCTGGGGGGCAGACAGGGACCTGCAGGACAACCTCTGGAGCTTTGTGCGGGAGGGAAGGAAGCAAGGATTACAGCTACAGGCAGTGGGTTCTGGGCCAGAGCAGTGCAGCCAGGCACGGCTGCACAGCCTGCAATCTGGGCACACAGAGAAAGCTTATCCAGCTGAGGCCTAGGGGACTATCCTTACCAAGCACTCTCTGATCCTAAAGGACTGCATGGACTGCACCAGTTCCTTGAGGTCTTTGCAGCAGCTCAGAAATCCTTCTGCCCTCTGTTCCCCCGGCCTTCCCCCTGCAATAGCCTGGTATTCTGCTGCTACTGCCACCTGACAGTTACTAAAAAAAAATACTTTCCAAACACAGACTGCATACTACCGTAGATTAGAAAAAAAAAAACAACTGAAGGAGGAATATAGTATTATGTATTAAACTCCTACCTGCTTGAAAACCAATACCAGTTTCTCATCCTGAAGTAACTCCTGAATACCACCTGGACTTTCATTCATGGATTTAGCATCAGAAATTGCTCCAGCACATTGGATCCGAGTCTTCAAATCCTACTTTGAGTTGTAGTGTAATTCAGAACACCAAAAAAATATGCGACTGTTCCTTCCAAAACAAAATATATTAAAAGAAAACGTACTCAGAAAACCAAAGACAGTAAACATCAAATGACTTTGCCATGTAAAAGGTGTGTTTTTGGGGTGCTTAGCATCTTCCTATTCACTATGCAAGTTTTATGAACTACAGCAGCTTACAAAATTAAATGTAATTTAATATTATGTTAGCCATCATAAATCATATAATGACAAATTAAGTCTGCGTAACAAAAGTAGTTGCAGGTGATCTGATTCAAACTTGCCTCTGGATCACAACACCATTTGTGATGGCAGGGCACTGCCACTCAGCTCGTTGGACTCAAAGGTAACTGTGGCATTTGCTGCTTTCAGAGAACGTTGCTATGAGGGCACCAATCTCAGAGCAGTTCCTGCAGCTACACTAGACTGCTCCAGAGCTCACCGGGCCACACAAGAGTATTCTAGGGCACACTGAAAACCTTTGAGTTTTCAGCGCTACCTCAATTTTTCCATGCATCAGTGCTTGGAGGCTTAAATACCATCAGAACCAGCAGATGGATGCCACACACTGGTTACTACAGAGATGCTTTTCTCTATTCCCATGGCTGCCACTTGGCTCAGTGCCACAGCAAGCAGGGTAGGGGGAGGGGGGGGGGGGGAGGGGAGGAGGGGGAGAAAGCATGACATGAAACAGAATTTTATTAAAAAGCATTGTACAGAGAAGTTAACAGCTCAATCCCGGTCAGAGGAATGAAATATATTAACACAGAAATATCAGAAACCATTGAAACACTCCAGGTATTGTTAAAATGCCTAAAAGCTAAAATGAAAACCTACTTCAAGGGACATAGCAAACTGCAAAATAACGGAAAGCACTTCATTTATTTAAACTGCTAGTACAGTCCTGACTTCTTAAATAGTCTGGTACTTAAAATAGCACACCAATGGCTATTCTTTCAAAAGTAGGTCATGTAACTTGAAGCCACATGCACTGTTTAGAAAGCCAAAGCTAAATTCATTCAGTGCAATTATTAAAAGTTGACTTAGATTTTCTTTACACATCATGGAGTACTCAGCAGTAAAGTTTCAGTAATTGACCAACCCCAGCTTTCTTATGTTTTGGGGTTTTTTTTTTGTTTGTTTTTGTTTTTGTTTTTTTTTTAATAGTAAAGCCATTTTACACAGTAAAATGCTTTCATCCTTTTAGCATGAGCTTAAATTGGGTGACGGGAATAGGGAGATGCTTGTGAACTCCGTGCCATTTGGCTGCAGAAGAACAGGACTATACCATACAAGGCAGATGAAAAACTGAGGAAGGACCCCAGGAACCAATCACAGGAAATCCTGTGTACATATACAAGGAAAAGAGAACGACCAGGGTCAAACCATGGGTTAGAAATATAAAAGTCTTCTAAAGGATTCAAGGCTTAAACAGCGCCTCAGCATATGTAGCAAGGGTTTTTTTGCGGCTATTAAGTTAATTTAACCTGAATAGGAATGAATCTAAGCGAAGTGAAAGAACTTTAGGTACAAATGAAGAGGCCATTTTTGCTTCAGAAAGCACAAATACCATAGTTCTGTAATAAAAACCATTCTTCAGATAGCTGCCTCCTCTGACAGATCAGGGAAACAGTTTTTCATAACCGTCTCAAAGTCTCTCAAGAAAGACTCCTGCGATGAAGGCTGTCACCAGAAGAGCTCTTCAGTTTTCCTTAATCAGAACTGCCTGTCAGATGACAGATTACTAGCTCCCTAAGAAAGATAACGTGTCTCTCCAACCCCCTGCCCCCAGGACCCTTTAATATATAATATGGATTTTTGTCTCATTGGAAGAGTTTGACTTTCTCAACAAAAACTCACTAGTCATACGACTGAACTTCAGGAAAGATGTGCAAACAGATTTGTAAACAGTAATGTGATTAATAGAAATACAGTATGTCATACACGTTTTTCTTTTTTAAAATAACAAAACCTTGTCAAACACAAGGGCACAAGAGACTAGTTTAAAACAAAAGCAATAATACTAAACTGTCATACAAAATTAGGAGATGGTGCATCCTTAAGCATGCTTCAGTCTAGAACTCTAGAGATCCCCAAGAAATAAAGAACTTGGCATAGCAACAGTGAAATAAGAACAGCTAGAACTAACCCCCATCTATTTCAGGACTGTAAATCTGTTCTAAAAGTCTACACTTCTATACACACATACACTACTTCACTGCAAGCCATTCACTCATTCTCCAATTAGTTCTTAAATTTAACAATATCTATCACAAAAAGTATGCTGTTTTAATGCATGCAGATTGAAGGAATCCATATGCTAGTCTTAAACCCTGGGTATATCTTCCTTTAAACTAAGCAGGAATTGCTCTGAGCAGGGTATACAGCATACAGTCTCTCTGGCATTTAAAACCAGAACACAATTTATGTTAGGAAATATGCATGAAGATAAAGAGTTGGGGCACTACTGCTGTGTGGTAAAGAAAACATGAGGTCATGCCATCCTCCTTTATCACTAACTCCCAGAGAACAACTCTGGGTAACAGAGGTTACAGAACTCATTCCTGACATCTTTTCAGTAGCATACAGTCCACATTCTGTCTGCCCTGCTTACAGATGTTTATTTGGTTATGAAACATTAAAATGTGAGAGAACTGACTGATCTTGGCATAACTTATAGGAGGTTATAGTATATAAGTTACAGTTCAGTAAAATATTTGTGTACTTCATGGCAGAGTTTGGAAATTAATGGCAATATATGAGACTTGGCCAGCAAAATCATTTTCTGTGGATTTATACAGTCCCCACCATATGGTATGGTTCTGACCATTGACTACAGGGCTTCACTGTTCTTCAACAAGCAAATTTCCCAGTATCACCATACTAATATAGTAGTAGAAGAAAACTTGTGCTAAAAAAAAAAAAAAAAAAGTCTCCTGAAGTTAGTGAAAATAATATACAGTACCAACGAACAACCATGTTGGTGACAAAACTAGAATTAGGAAGGTAAGACAGAAGTCCCAGCTCCATAGTTGGGTCATTACCATGCTCCCAGTGGGAGAAACAGTTACAGGAGATGAAACAGATACAGGGAGGGGTCTGCAGGAACCTGCAGTCAGCATTCTTCTGGTACACATGCAGAGAAAGTAGAAAACATGGACTGAAATAAAACTAATTTCAAAATGGCTTATTGAAAGAGGTAACAATACAAAGTTTTGGTTAGGGGAAAAAAAAAAAAGAAAAAAAAAAAACCACACAACAGTTCTGATGAACTGCATGATTTAAGTTGGCACTGCTCCTCGTACGTGTTATTGAACTTCCCTGTAATCCAGCCAAGGATATGCCTGACAAAGGAGATTTTTGCTGTAGAATCCAGAAACAAGAGCTGTGCAGAATGGCTACTGCTGCAGCCTGTGGACACATTGGATTTACCTCAGATCCTAGAAGGACCACTAGTGTATCCATTTCAGTCAGTTTTCTGACTGCTAAAGTAATACCACCTTATCCCGTGCAATGCTTTAACACCTTGTCATTTTCAGTAATTCATACACAGCCTATAACTGGATCCCTTTTCCAAACCTTAAGCCAAATTTGACTGAAAGTACAGTCAAACTCAGTAAATCGAAATTCACTTGTGTCCTTAATGCACTGATTTCTTGTATAAACATTTTTTCCCCTGAATTAAAGAAGGAAAAGGAAAAAAAACTTACAACATTTGATACCTGAGGCTATGCAATTTTACTAGCTTGGAAAACAATTTGTTCTTTAGTAAAAGAAACCAACCATTTTTTCTGCATTTCAAATGGTCTTCTGTTATCAGGAGAAAAATTAATAACCTTTTGGTGACATCTAATTTAAAAGTCAACTCTTTGAGTGGGTAGATAATAGCAGGACAAGGGGAAATGGTTTTAAGTTGATGTAGGGAAGATTTAGGTTGGATGTCAGGGGGAAGTTCTTTACTATGAGGGTGGTGAGGTACTGGAACAGCTGCCCAGAGAGGCTGTGGATGCCCCATCCCTGGAGGTGCTCAAGGCCAGGTTGGATGGGGCCCTGGGCAGCCTGGTCTGGTATTAAATGGGGAGGGTTGGTGGCCCTGCATGCAGCAGAGGGGGGAGGGGTTAGAGCTTCATGATCCTTTAAGTGCCTTCCAATCCAAGCCATTCTATGACTATGAAAAACAGGACATGAAAGTATCTGTAGTAATTGCATTTGGCCAATAATCATAGCCTGATGCCTAGGATATTCACATAAGAATTCTATATTGCTTAGGAATCCAAAAAATGGAATGATTGAAACATTAAACTGTAGCACCATTAATACTTATTTTCCTAAAACATCCTAAGGACTAGAACAAAATCAAAACAGAACAGAAACATTGTGCTTACATTGCATTGATAGAAAACAATGAGTTGGTCGTACTTGAGTCTGTACTTCAGTAAAGTCTGGCCACATTTACAGTTCTACCAAAATGGTATTGGAAAAGGTCACACTTTGCTCAGCAGTTTTCTGCGTTTCATTCATCCTGTTTCCTTTTGGGCTTTTTGGGATTCCGAGATCGGCTTTTTGCCTTGCAGAGTGGACATATTGGTGCATTCCGATGAATTTGCTGGTGACAGGATAAACAGGCCTGAAATGCAACATTGCAACCTTTTGTTACAAACATTTAGGGCGGCACTGATACATTAGTTATTGGGTATCATATTCTAAGATACAGTACATAATAACAAAGACTTCTTGCTTTCAAAGGCAAACCAATGCCAATTTTTATTTCCAGGTCTCTGAAAAACAAGGCCAACTGAAAAACAAGACCATGTTGTTTCACACTGTTTCACATTGAAGTGAAACTACATCTCAGCAAACACGTGGTTTAGGCCTTTTTGTTTTTGTTTGTTTGTTTTTATAATTTCAGCATGAAAATTATTTTTGTTTAAACTTTCCACATTTTAAAGATCTCTACATGAGTAACAGCTCACTGAGCCACAAGTTACAGTGAAAACTGATTGCAGTTTCACAGAACTCAAGGCAGAGAGGGTGATTAGATGAATTCTACATATTTAACACAAGACACAGCACACTACTGTTCTGTTTCATACTAAGCCCTTTAACTTCCATTTGAATGAAGCATATTGCTCTCAGAGAGGTTTTTGCTGACCTAACCCTAAACATGAAGTACATAACTATGAAATATACTTACCTCAGTTTAACCCCCTAGGCAGTGAATCTTTGGAACCTGAGTGGAATAGATACACCTATAGAATTACAATTTTTAATTTACTTATTTTTTACTGACTACAGAAAGAGCTGAGTGTAACTGCTGATGGGATGGTAGTACACCTCTCTTAAGTGCTTACAGTTAGGCTGAATTAATCCACACATTAGTCTTGCACTGCTATGGAGAGTCTCAAGTCATAAATTAGTCAAATAAAGCAGAGCCTTGTCCTTAATCCTTGATGACTGGTGCAACTGGTTTAAGTTTACTGGGGTTGTTACTGATACGAACCCCTACAGAAAAGATCAGAACCAGGACACGTTGTTTTTCCTTTTTGTAAATACTGATCAAGTTTATAAGCACTGTACATTCCAATGACACGAAAGAAAAAACAGCACAATTTCCTAACCTTCATTGGAGGTGGCTGTTGTCTAAACGTTGCTGTCTGTCTGGTATCTTGCTTCCTAGCCACTTGCAGCTGTTGGGCAGCTGCTGCAGCTGCAGCCAGAGACTCTGGGATGGGAGGCTCCTGTGGTTCTGTCTGCCATTCAGCTTTCTGCTTTTCAAAGTAGCTAGACCAATAAATAAATTAATAATTAAAAATAAGCACCTTCTGGACTACGCCATTATTTCATGGAATATTTTGTCTTAAAGTATAATGATTTATATCTCCACGTTATGTTCCTCCATTAGAGTCAAGTTGCCTATGTTTAGACACATTTACATCTGTAAATATAACTGTTAGTATTTTCCTTTCCATTTGTACACATCAGAAAGAGTTCAGAAGAACAGCAATGACTTTCAGTTTCTAATACATCTTGATCTATAACTGAACAGAAATCTAATAGGCTATAAAATATATAATATACATACTTAATCTTTAATAGTGTTACATTCCCTTATGAAAACCTATTTTTATATTTTATTCTGTTAAAGTTAATATTTTAATGCAATCTTTGTAGTTTCAAGCTGCTTTCAATAGAAAACTATTTCTGAGAAAATCCAACGCCTCTTAACTCCTTTCTTCCAACTGTTAACAAAAATAAAACAGCAAAATAATCAGTAGCATCAAAAAATGGTGTAAAGCCAGACAGCGTTTACTTGGAGACTTACTCAAGGGACAGTTTCTCCTCTTCCTCACACAAGTCTGGCAGCCTCTGCAAGCCCAGTGTCATTCGCAGAGCATCTACATGCTCCTTTAGGGGTTTGTACTCCTCATGCAGGCGACGAGTAGATTCCAAGAGTTTATTGAGATCATTCTCAGACTGCTTGATAGTATTCTCCATCTGAAACAGAAGAATGAATATGGTTTTAAAAAGACTATTCTTTCAATAGCTCTCTGAGCAAAGGAACTGTATCAAAAAGAAAAGCTTTTCCTCACCAAAGTTAGAAGATATTGGAAACAACACAATAGTAAAGCAAAAAGCTTTGGTTAGAATTATCAAGCTAAGAAAAGGTTCCTGTTTCTCTTACTGCAGTAAATGGAAAAAGAGGTGGAAGAAGACTATGTTAGATAAAACAGAGAGAGAACGAAACTTACTGAGAAAAGGTGTACAATTGGGTAGAGGAACAGAAACTTCAAGTGGAAAATATCTGCAGTCTGTTCATCCAGAGCATAGCTTGTACTTGCTTGTAACGTGAAAATGCTTTATCTCTGGTGCAAAGCACAGATACCCTCTGACTAAAAATCACTGTACAGTCATGTCAGTGTCCTATCGTAATGAACTCTCCACTTAGTCCTTCTAATTGACTAATATTCCTTCTTTATAGGCTGTTTTTCTCTTATTTGTATTTCCTTCAGGCTTGTGTTTCTTACTGTACTGAGGTAATGTCTGGTGGTTCCACTCAAAGTGGAAGATCAGTTCTTTCTAACAGCTTCACAAATATCACACATTTTCCTGAAATACCTTTTCTTCCCAAACAAAAACAGTCAAAAATTCCAACTGCCTCTAACTGCTAAATGAGAAAAGACTTAATCATTTTCTATGGGACTGCCAGAATGAAGTTACTATGACTACTGGTGAAATTCTACAACGGACTTGGTCATCTAGCCCCTTGATCCAAATGCTTTCCATGCTAACATCGTAAAATAACTTGGCCAAAGCAGACAGGGGGAAAAAGAGATTTCCTATATTAAATTTACTTTGTAGGATCCCAGAATGGTGTTGCATTGTGAAGTCCAAACAATTGAACCAGTAATCATACATGGACACGTGCAATTCTACAACTTGCGGCCTTATTCATATACAACTACCATAGGCTTGTCTGCATCAGGACTGTTGCATACCACATTAATATCAGCGTGGATCAGACGCAGCTCCTCCACATGCGCCATCTTCTCTTGCAGCAGCAGGTCCATTTCTTGTTTGTATTCTTTCAGGTGCCTCTCCTCAGACTCCAGGGCTTCAAACTCTGCTTTTAGACGTGCCTTTATTTTTTCCATCTGCAAAGTCTTATTTCTGGATCCCAATAATAATTACAAATACAAAGGGACAACAGTAAGTAATTGCAAAATACTTTTGTGAGGCATCACATTGTAGGTGAAAAAATGCATGAAGCAGGCATCAGTAACAGACATGAGTGAAAAATAAGACTTCTCTAGTACCTTTCACATATTTCTGTTTCTGCACACATCCTGCATTCCGGTTCTTTTTATTTTTATTTTTTGCCAATCTGTAATAAAAATATTTAGAAACCCAGTTCATATCTCTGTCTTCAAAGCTAGAAATCAAAGGGTGTGAGTTTCAGGCATCAGACATTTTTAAGAAGCAGGTGAGCAGAGCAAACACCATGTTCTTGCTCTTGATCACATTTGTGACACGTTATTTTCTCTGTACCGGAAGTCAGAATGTGACACACCATAACCAATAAGCCAGCAACACTTAAGTGTTTATAAGAACAGCCCACATTGTCACTTTCCAAGCACATAATAAAGAGTTCTAGGATCCCTTGCTTCACCTTCTGTGAAACAAACAAGAATACACAATTCCCTTTTAGTCATGTAACATCTACTACAACTATCTCCAGACTTGTTTTCAAGTTCATTACGCAGTAGGCTTCCTATAGACACAGTGTAAAAAAGGGCAGGGGAAAAGGGAGCTTGTGTTTGTACTTAAGTTTCCTCACCCTCATGCAAAGTGAAGCAAGTCTGATTCAATTTCAACATAAGCAGTAGGGCTGAGCAGAATGTACTCTGTAGATTACAGGAAGGTGACTATCAGATGAACAGTAAAATCTAAGAACATGAATTTCACACCAATCCTAGAAAAGGGTGCATGACTTCCTTTCCCACCCAGACTTTGAGAAGGCCTTGTTTCAAGAACAGCATCTTTTCTCGCTCTTATTGCATCAAATTGCACAGTTAGAAGCATATTCTACTTATCTGCAGGGGCACACCAGAAGTACAAGTAGAAATCCTCCCTCTATTCTGTTTGCTTAATAGCAGGATGCCACCATTACACTAATGGCACAGTACCATCTCAGGACTTCCTTGTTATCTTTGGCTTTAACAGAGCTCCTGTTTTCTCTAATTCCAACAAAATTTTAGAGCTAGCCTGAGGACTATTCTTTAAAGTACATAGTAGATGTCTAACTGATTCTATTCCTTGTCCAGAGCTCATCCTCAGTCACCCTCCTTCTTGGGGATGCTCACACTGTGACTGTGAATCCTCTCAGTCCCCTTGTTCCTGTTTTCCAAATTAGCCTCAATTAGTGCAACATATGCTTATGCCCCAAGTTTTTGTAACCCTTTTATTGACTGCCTGACACATCACTAGCAGAGGGAATTTGCACAACAGGGTTTCACCAATTGCTGAAGACCACGGCAGAAAGCTGACTCAGTCAGTCCCTAGGACAACCAACTGTGGCCACCTGTTCCAAGAACTACAGTTTCAATTGTTCCCTCTCTCACTTCAGGAGCTTATGAAGCTGCAATAGATAAAAATAGTATCATAAATAATTTTGCAATATTGGTGGGGTAGACAATTAGATCTTAGAGGTCTTTTCCAACCTTAGAAACTTGATTAGGAATCAAAAGTAAGGTGAAGATGACATGTCACATAGCTAGAGGAAGAGATTACCTAAATATATAAAGTTTCTTAAAATATACACTGTATGACTTTAAAAAAAAAAAAAAGCCTCTGAACAAAAATGAATTACACTTACCCAATTTTTATAGATGAATAAATCAATTTTGAAATGGGATTTATGGGCACAGATTTATTTGGCAAGTTTTTGGTTTTTTTTTTTCCCCATTTGCTATACTAGCCATATAAATATTGCAAAAGAGATCATTGCTATCCCCCATTTTATACGTGGAAATACCTCATGAAAAGTATAATCCAAACACGCTGGTTTTCACCAGACATCATTTATTTAAAGCATTCACTTAGTAGTGGCATCTTTGATCAGTGAGACTAGGAGTATTTGTTCCAAGTTTCCACACAACACATGTTTATGACACGCATTCACCTAACAGAAAATAAATGACCTTCCACACTTTCACTAGGCGCTGACAGCTATCCTCCACAAAACTGCTACACTGAATGAGTTGCAGGGGATTATTTCAGTTCAAATGATTAGCTTTTGGTATAAGAAAAGAAAAAGCACACACAACTTTATAAAAAGCCCTTCATATTAACATCAGGTAACAGGCAATGATGCTCTGAAACAAAAAACAATATTGTGATTTCTATACTGCCTAATGAAATCGGCCCTCATTCTTTACCCTTCTAAGTTCTTAGACTGCAATGATAACAGTAGTAACTAATTGTGTCCCAGTATAACATGAAGCAGTGAAGCTGGCATCTGCTGTGGATAAGTTCACACATACCCTCTGATCTTCTCCTGGTCAGAACACTGAGTTCCAGTATTTACACATTTGCTTAATTTTACAGCTACAATTAAGTTAATTTACATAATGCATATCAATAAGTATGTGCAGATATGTCTGGACTGGGGGCTTATACTTTACTGACAGCAGTAATTCCATACTAATTGTGTTTATTTGTACACATCTAGGAAAGTAGGTTTTCAGAATCAGATTCTAGAATCCCAAAAACCCACCTGACCTGCCTTTAATATATGACAGAGAGCACCAACAGAAATAAGCAATTTATTTTATTTCAATAGCAAGGTTTTTTTTTCCTCTGCCTGTAGAATACTACCCTGAATGCAAATTAAAGCCTGCCAGATGCATCAAAAGTATATTTTCTTTGTAAGCGTAAGAAAGTCTCATAGTTATTTTGAATGAAATTCTTCACAGAATGAAAGGATGTAGGTACCTATTTTAAATAGGTAGTTTTTTGGCCACATTTTGTGAAAGGAAATTCAAAATTGACATCAGTGCCTCAAGCAGGATTTTTGCTTGTTTTAATTTATGTTCAAGCAAATTTATTAATACATCATCACATAGTAAAGCTATTTATTCACATTCAGCATCTTATACCATAAACTAATCTAAAAAATGTCTTAATTGCAGTGTTAACGTACTACTTAAATACATTATCAGAAAACAGAATGTGCCATGTAATTAGATATTTAAATTCAGTGTAATAATTGGACCTCAAATAGGTCATATCTACACCTACATTTTAAAAGAGCATGCCTAATATCTAAGTAGAAAAGCACTATTCTTACTCTGCAAAGCATGTACTATCCCATCTTTTTCTACATGTAGTCTTGGAATGCTTGACATAGGAATATTTTTGCCTGATCTTTGTTCATCCTCATGGTATAGCATGAAAAAGGCACAGGCCCATACACTGTTGCCTTCTTCACCTTTTTACATGGGTAAAGAGTGCTTATTAAAGGTGCTAATACCAGGCAGAAAGACACCTCTGCAGCAACTTCTGTGCAGAGCCAGGCAGCGGCTCCTTTGTCCACTGCCTGTACTGCAAACATACCCATCGACAGCCTCTCTTCAGCTGTCATGCCCCAAAACACTTACCACTTCAATGGTAATCCTTCAGCAGCTCACCCTTCAACTCTCAGCTTCATTTCAGATCATTGCCCACACTTCCTTTGTAAGATGTTTTGGCTTTGGATACATTAATTTCTGCTAAGTACTGACAGTTTAGGCCTTACCTGAATATCAGTGTCCTAAGTCCAAGAATGCCAACGTCATAAAGCATAGAAAGCTTAAAAGCTTAGAAAAACATACCCCTGAACAAATGATGCCATGCATTGGTGTCTATGATCCCTTCCTCTTTCAATGCACCGTTAGATATGCTGTATGGAGAGCACTATATACAAATTCCTGTTGTATCACATTGCACAGAACAGCAGAGCAAGACAGCTGCTTGCCTTTGTGGCAGATCCTCCAGATGATGACAGAAATAACATAGTGCCGTTGTTTCCCTATCCATCACCACCACAACACTGTCACCCCAGCACACAGCCCTGATCCTCCCTTCAGAGTGCTACTCAAGAAACAGCAGGCTTCTGCTATCTTTCCCTGCCAGTCTTAGGCACTGATTTCTCCACAGGCTCAGACGCTTCCCTTTTCCAGCAGACACATATACTCCACGCTCCCCGCAGGCCGCAATCTCGGAGCAGTTGAGGCTCCTCTTCCCTGGCAGCTGAGCAGCCCCACGACCACCCACGAGTTCCTGCCCAGCTGCACTCGGCCGTCCCAGTCCTGCTCAGACACCCGCTCCATGCCGTTCTTTGGGGCACACCCATCCTCAGCTTTCCGCGACAGCCCCTTCCTTTCCCAGCCTGTTAAGGCTCCTGCCACCGGGGTGGAATAGTGCAACTGCGTGAGGCGTAATACTGAATTTACAACAGACAGATTTAGGGATGAGAAATTATAATCCAAAGAGTTTAAGAGAAAGCACCCACAACCGAACACCTCTCCCCCAGCTGCACGGGGCTGAATCTGCCTTCCCCACCCACATGCTTTTCCTTCTCGTTATGGTATTACTGAGCTAATGCTCTGGAAACCTATGATCGTTGCCGCCGTTTGTTGCACATTCCGCTGGTCTTTCCCAGCTCCAGATGTGCCTTTTCCAACTAGAAAAAAATGTATTTTTAGCTCTAATCGTAAAGCTTGGGATGGTTTTTCTTTCCCTCAGTAGCACAATAGCTACTTTCAGATCGATGCAACTACTCTACTTTCCCGAGGAGAAAGCTGCTTCACGTAACTGATGCAGCACAAAGCAAACATACCTGATCTCCTTGATGCTCTCGAGTTTGCACATGATCTCTTGCTCATCTGCCATGCTTTTCACTCCCGATTTAAATCTACAGCGAAAAGTACAAAATGCCAGGGGGAAAAAGAAAGAAAACACATACAATAGATACAACGTAGTCACCCCCTCCTAGCATAAGGTCTCTGAGCCTGTGCGGTAGGCTCTAGCGGGATCTATGGGACTTAGAGTCCAGCTTCCTCAAACTGCCTAGGCAGACATGCGGCAGAAAGACTACAACACCCACAATGCAAAGCAGAGCTCCCCCTCCCCCCCCCCCCTTCTTCCTGCAAGTAGATTTTAAATCAGCTTGTCACGCCTCATTTTGTCAGAGGTTGTTAGGAGTGCAAAGAGGGAACGAGGTGCCCTCCTGAAGTCTATGCAATATTTAGGATGTCATTAAAATCAGGGAATAAGCACTAAGGGATCATTTGATGCGATGGCGATTTTGAGGTTCTTTCTCCTCCCTCCCCCAGCCAAAGCACGCTATAGCCATTATTACTACTATGCTGTTTTCTCCCAGGTGTTCTGACTTAGGAGTGCATCTGGAGCTCAGTAGAGACATATCTTATTCTTTGGGATTTTCTTCTGTATTTCTGACACTATTGGTAGCATTTTTTGTTTTGAAAACAAAAACAGTACGTGAATGCCAGGTTGAGAAGACTGACCATTTGCCTGAGGACATTCTAGCCATGCATATCAGAGCACTTTACCAGGACTGCTGAATAGACTTCCAGCCATTAGTCACACAGGTAATTATCTTCCTTCAGTTTCTGTCGTGAACAAAACATGTTTATTTTTTTGAAGACAACAGTTTTACATCTCAGCACTCTGAAAGACTTCTTCCTGAAGGATCCACAGAGTAAATTCCTGGTTCTTCACCAGTATACCCAAGCAATTACCCAGCAGTTCCCCAGTTTTTATGGTCACGCTGGGTTGAAAGATCAATGCATTATAAGAAGTGAAAGTTCAAGGCCAGACAGCAGGGAAACCAGATCATAAAGTCTTCAACTTAAGTATGTTTACATGCACAAGCATCAGTATCATAATCTAATGAATACAGTGGACCACTCATCAGTCAGTAGCATGAGGCCAATGAGCACAGGGCGATTAAGTGGGATGCATTACCCAATTGTTATATATGGAAGGCAAGTAAAAATGGACATAACACAGAGCAAAGCAGCAAGATTGGTAAGAGTTTTGGGGTACACGAAAGGCATCTGAACGTGACAGCATGGCCAAAGTAACATGGCACTTGGTTGATCTGTTTGAGTCAAGACTTGTTCTCACAGAACTAAACGTCTTGAGTCTGTTGCATACACGGTTGCAGACTAAAGGAAAACCGGTCCCCCTCACATGTGACTGTGCCTGGAATACTAGCAGACTAGAATGGGAGGTAATAAGCAGAGCATGAGCCACAGGAGGGTCACGCTCCGACTCCAGCTCTGAGCAACTCTGGATGGAATAGATGGAGCTCGTAACAGCAAGAGTCATCCTCTCTGTAAAAGCTGTTAAAAAAAGTTTTCATAGCAAATAATCCACTAGTCAGATGAGAAAAGTCTACAAATCATTTAATAAGCCAAACAGAAAGGTTTGGACAGATTTCAGTCAAATTTCTGACTACACAGTGTTTCAGTAGGAAAGGACACCTGGACAGTAGAGGATTCTCCGTATCATTCTTAACTATTCACATAATGTTGTCCACATTAACCCAGGTACTGCAGATCCCTGCTTTGAGGCAGGGGTTTTGCAATGATTAGCGATGAGTTATGAGGCTTATAGCCTTCTATTACAACAACCTGCTTCTTGTCATCTTCTTCAGTGTCCTCTCAGACATTCCCTCCTGGGGACTGAGTGAGCTATCGTACATTAATATGAATTATGAATGTTGTATATGAACATGAATTCAAATGTCCACAATAGGTTTTCATGCCAGAGAAAGCACTCAAAGGCCAGAAAATGAAAGAATGTGTCAGAGAGGAGGAAAAAATCATCACCAAAAATTACTGAGAATGAGAAAGGGTGGGCAGCCAGAAAGTTTGTCTGGAGAAGGGATGAGGTGCTAGATTCATACGGCTGCCTGGAGGGCTGGAAAACAGATCTGAAAAAACACCTAATCTGGAATTTTTGTTTGTTTGGGGCTTCTGAGGAGTAACTCCCATTTATCTGTAAATATTTATACACCCATTCATTTAATTTGAAGAAACTGAGCTGTATTAAACATTCAATTTCTTATGTACTTACCTCAAATATTGTCGAGTACTTTGTCATGTACTGAGTGTAGTCGAGGAGTTATACAGTTTTCTCTTACACACTCAGCTGAGCTAAGATGAAAACTATGAAAGTATCACTTGTCTTCTTTGGAAATGACATACACAGTTCAAAACAAACACAAAGAACCTACTGAGAAACCAGGCACAAAAATTAAAGCATATGAGAAAACTGTAAAATATTCTGTGTAACAAAAGGGATTCAGGTTTGTAGAAGGGAAGGTGACAGGTTGGCATTGTGTCCTTCATGAAAACTCTTAACACCTGTGTATGACATTAGAACCAGTACAATGCAGCTCCCTGCTTACTTTTTCCACTGAAAAAAATATATTTAGTCATCTTTAAGTGTTAGCATTTGTGCAAAACTACAAAACGTTAGCTTTAGAATAACAAAAGGAATAAGCAATCATTAGAAGGATTCAAAATTAAGGCAGACTATTTCATAACAACAGAGTAGATAGCCATTGCTTTCATCAGGCTTTAAATCAGTCTCTAGATAAACAGCAATCTTTAGGAGCATGCAATTAGCTTGAGCTCTGCATCCACATGAAATCAGGGCCTGCTGTGGTAACAAACACATCCTACTGTTCTCTCAGTTGTGAAATCATCACATCTGTCTTCCTGAGCCCTCTATCCTATGCTTCCTATGAAGTACAGTGAATTTGCATATTCTTCCAACTCATACTGGTTTGGGAAATGGGGCTTTTTTTCCCCCCCTCTCCTCATCAATGAATAATATAGATATTTGTATGTGATTTCTACTGCTATTGCTATTCTATTACAGTCAAATTTATGAATACTTTTTCAGTGTAACTTTCAGCAAAGTGACAGAGAAGAAAGAGAGAAGCATGTACTTGCACCATTCCTATCAGTTGAGGTGAGCAGGTGTGGAAAAGCCTGGAGAGATTTACCAGTACTTTGGTGTTTGTACACTCTGAAATCTCTGGTGTTCCTAGAGATGAAAAATCACTTTCCACATTGCAAAGTAAAATCTGGATGTCATGAGGCATGTTGCTCTAAGGGCAGAGCAGAGGGCCAAGGATTAGGACAAGCAGATTACTCTTTCAGCTCTGATGTCAGTACTCGCAGTTCAAGCGCATTCAAGCTGGTGGCATGCAGCATTTGTTTCATGGACTGGGATAAGTGCCTTTACATGTGCATGTTCCACATTTCATTGCACATAAAACAGATAGCGCTTTGTGTGCCCTGAAATCACAACACTGTTGTATCAGGCCTATTCTAGCGCTCTACAAATTTAGGTACGGGGAAATAAATAACTGTTCTCTTTCAACATACAGTTATTATTGTGTGTTTTTTTTGTTTTTTGTTTTTTTTTTTTCTACCCCCAACAGAAACTGAAGGGCTTACACACACAACTGCTATTGAAAAATAAACCTTTTGATTTCCTGGTCCTGAACCTTACTCCCATTTGAACCTTTAAAACCAGGCACTAGTAGACATACAATACAAGCAAAAATCAGTACCACCATGCTATTGAGCACAAGTTTGAACTTCACTGCATTTAAAAAATTAAGTATTTCTTCAGTCCGCATACCGTTATCACTAGTGACAAGTAGCACAGAACAGTTCCAAATTGCAAGAATGACTACTCTCCCCCACATTTAACACTAACATGATGGAAAGGGCAGCAGTAACAGCAAAGCAGCAAAATCCCACACTGCAACAAGCAACAACTCATCTAAATTCAACAGCACAAAAATAAAGGAAAGAACTTACCTTCAAAAGGCTTGTTACACAGGGACCTCCAGCAAAACACCCCCCCTTCCCCTGCCAACCCTTAAATGAGGGCTGGGGAGGGGTGGATCCTGGCTCCACCCTTTCCATCACCCAGATACATTGCATGCACCTGAGCTCCCCTGGTCTGGCCCTGCCTTCCCACCAGGTGCTCTATCACTGCTTCAGGCTGCAACTCAGCATTTCTGTCTACACCACTTTTGTAATCATCCTCACTACAGTAATTAACTCTATAACGCTGGGATGTAATGGTGACTTTTTTTTCCCCCAGTATGTTCTGGGTTTAACATGTTACTGCATATCTTTTTATTTATTCACTACTTTCTTTAAAAAATGCTATTACGTTCTGTGTTCTTTCCTCATTACAGAAAGCTTATACTCATCATCACATCTGCTGGACTTTTTCCACACACATAGAGGGGAAATATTATAAGTGAAATGTTGTTTTCAGGATGATTTGGGAAGCCAGAGGCAGTCACAAGCAACGCTGACAGGTGCAAATAGCATGCCAGCTCTGAGATCTTAAGATTATTTTATCAGCTCTGGAAGCACTGGTTATTTCTTTAGTTAATCCTTCAAAGTATGCTGTGAGAATATCCATCAATAGCCTAGATCTGGCAGTGGTGCCAGATCTAAGGCCCAAAGATGGGCCTAAATATATTTAAATTTCACAGAACCACAGAGTTGCAGGGATTGGAAGGGACCTCAAGAGATCATGGAGTCCACCCCCCTGCTAAAGCAGGTACTCTACAACACGTGGCACAAGTAGGCATCCAGCTGGGTCTTGAATAACTCCATTGAAGGAGACTCCACAACCTCCCTGGGCAATCTGTTCCATACTCTGTCACCCCTCTCCTAAAGAAGTGCTTCCATGTGTTAGTACAGAACTTCCTGTGTTCAAGTTTTAGGCCATTAGTCCTTGTCCTATCGCTACACTCCATCAAGAAGAGACTCGCCTCATCCATTTGCCTCCAACCTCCCTTCAGGTATTTCTAAACATTTATCAGATCCCCCCTCTGTCTTCTTTTCCCCAGGCTGAACAGATCCAGTTCACTCAGCCCTTCCTCACAAGAGAGATGCTCCAGGCCCTTCACCATCTTTGTGGCCCTCTGCTGGACTTCTAGGAGATCCTTGTCTTTTTTCAACCAGGGAGCCCAGAACTGGACACAACAGTCTAAATGCAGCCTCACCACAGCAGAGTAGAGGGGGAGGATCACTTCCCTCGATCTGCTGGCCACGCTCTTAGTAATGCACCCCAGAATTCAGTCACGTCTTTTATTTCATCTTCCATCCCATTAATCTGCAAAACTGGGAAAACGTCTCTAGTACTGCACATCATCCTTACCCCAACCACACTGATTTCAATAAAGGCACTAGGTAGCCTTTTTCCCATTCTTTTGTGTAACTCGAGCACATCAGCCACTCGAGGACTTATTTCCAAGGGACTCTTGAGTTGTAAGACATTGGTTACGAGCAAGAGAATATCTCAATGGCGGACTTCCTTGCCGAAACGCGCCCGAGAAGCACCGCAGCACGCCTACTAGCGCCGCGCGTGACTACGGCCGCGCGCCCGCCGCTCGCCCCGCCGGTTGGGGTGGGATAGGCGCCCGCACTGCCCTTGCGCCGGGCAGGAGCGGAAGGCTGTGCGCGTTCCTGCTGGCGGGCGGCGCGTGCGCTGCCTGCGGGAGCGCGCGGGCGCCGCGAGGAGTCGGGCGTCTGCAGCAGCGGGGGCTGGGCGTGGTTGCTAAGCGACGGCGCCCGGGCAGCGGCGTTGGCCCGGCAGAGATGAGGCGGAGGCAACGGCCTCCGCGCTCCCGCCGGCGCTGAACCCTACTCCCGCACCTTCCCCCGTCTTTCTCCATCCCGTCCCGCCCGGGCTTTGCCGCCCCCTCCCTCCAACCCTCTTCCCTCTCCCCTCGCTCCAGTCTGTCCTTCCCCCTCCATGCGGCGGGAGCGGTCGGCGTGGGGCCCGTGCCGCGGCCGCGCCGAGCCCCGCCATCCCTCGCCTTTCCGCCGCCAGATTCAGCGAGGAGCCACGGGCGGCGTCTGCAGCGACAACAGCGGGTGAGGCCCCGGCTGAGGAAAGGGGTGGCGAGGGAAGCCGTGGGGCGGCCGGAGGAGCGGCGGCGCCCTGGCGGTGGCGGACGCCCTTTCCCGGCGCGGCACGGGGGCTCTGCGTGTCGCGAGAGGACGGCAGGGCGCCCCCTGCTGCCCGCCGGCGGTCTCCGGGCTGGGCCTCGTTCGAGCCGCGGCCTTCCGCCGCTCGCACGCCCGGCTCGAGCACGGTGAGCCGCTGCCCCGGAGTGCGCTGCTGCGTTGTTGGCTCTGGGCGGCCGCTTGGCCTACTGCCGCCTCTTCCCGACGGCGCCGCCGATTCTGCGTGGTCCGAACAGCTCCGCGGGTGCTCTGCGAAGCAGACCAGCGCGGGGCCGTGTGGGGAGCTGATGTGGTTATCCCAGCGGGGGTTTGGATCCGGGGGTCTCTCGTCTAGGCCTTTTCTGCCACCGTTCGCCAGCTGGGTGCAGAATCGGGGAATTTGCCTGGTTTCGTTTAATAAGGGCAAAGCAGGGATTGTGAAGGCTGCGGTAGCATGCTGTTTAAGGTGGTGTTCTGTCTCTGAACATACGAAGGGTAGCAAGAAATTTGTGTTAATAGAAGCATATGCTTAAATAAGGAAATTACTTTTGCAGAGGGTACCTGATGATCACTACTCACATCCTTCCGTTTTGCTTTATACTGTAAATGTGAATTAGAAACTGATCATTTACTACAGTATAGAGGATGTTTACAGTCGTATTTCTAATTCATTCATTTGAAAACGTTATTTTGCACAGCTCTTTTCTAATTATCACTTAAACCTTTGGAGACTGTATTTCACAAGACTTGTGTAATTCTTTCCCAAGTCGCTAAACAATAAAAAGGAATGCAAAAGCTATATTGTGTCTTCTTAAGTTGATAAGTGTAGATCTAAATTAATTGTTTGTTTAATACATGCGTTATCTTTTTTGTTTTTTCAGTCTTCTAGTGTGTTTTAGTGATATGTACTGTCATGAATGGAAAGGAAGAATAGAAAGAAAATGAAAATTCTGCTTGTTCATGAATGTATATTCAGCATATTGGTAGTTCTATGTGCCTGGGAATATGCAGTATTAGCATGCCAGATCCATCTGATTTCATATGCTTTGTGTGTTCACTAAAGTGGATGTCTGAAGTTGTTGCTTTTGTACAGGAAGTACCTTTAATTATAGAAATGCATCTTTTAATTGCCACATACTGTAAACGGCACTATGGTACGTAGAATTGAAAGGTAAATTTTACAAGTGTTCAAAACAATCTTTGAGTCTAGCTGGAAAACTACTTTAGTAGGGATGTGGAGGTAATTCTCGAACAGAACAATTCGATTGAACTGCTGTTGGAATGTGTTCTTTCTTTTTCCACTGTCATGTTTTCTGTATGTTCATCCTGTAACTGCTGATGTTTTCTGGACCTGTGTTGAGACAGTCTTCTATAATGGTGCTTACTGAGTTTTAATTGAAGCCCTCTGTAAAACTTCCTAAGTCAATTTCATTTTAAAAGCCTCTTTAAAATGTATTTTAAATTAAAAAAAAACAAAACAAAACAAAACAAAAACTAACATCAACTGAAGTCACCAATGAAAAAGATCAGAAACAAAAGATGTAAAGAGGATGAATGAATACCAGGGACACTTTATGTGCAGATGAACTAGTAAGAGTCAAACCTTACTGTCAACTGCAGTGAATAACTTTTGGCTTTCTGTTCTTCAGTCTTTCAGAATGCCTTTTTCCAATGCAAATTATTCCACTGTAGACATCTATTACTTCTGACTTTCCTAGCCAACTGAGCTGTCATTTTGTTAAACATTTATAGTTGTACTATAGATCTGTGAGTAGTAGGTCACAAAACAAATCGCTTCCATCACTTAAACTCTATTACTGTTTACTTCAAGAGCAAAAGTACTGGAGCTCTTTGGAATAAGGAAGGCAGCAGGATGGAAGTCCAGTTATAGAAGTTAGGCTTGGAAAAGTGAAGAAAAATAATTTATAAACTCAGGAAAAGTTTCTGGGTGTTGCAAGATTATAAACTGGTTTAATATATTGATTCATCCATTCTCATATTATAAAAAAAATAGGCTGATACCTTGAACTCACAAACAACGCTGAGACTACTCACCACTTTTGATTATGAAAGCTGCTAGACATAAAGGACTTTGAAGAACCATATATACATGACAGGACAAGAATGCATGTGTCTATATGTTGTATGTATGCTTTTTTTTTTTTGTAATTTTAGTTGAAAATACTATTTTTCCAGGCGTTACAAATGAGAAGTATATTTGAATAATAATACTTCACACCTGCTACTGTGTTTTGTTTGTTTGTTTTTGATAACCTGTATATGATGTTATGATAATGCAGGAGATTCATCTGGAAATAAGAAAAAACACCCTTACAAATCCGGGATTTCTGACACCATGACACTTAGTATGGTTTGATATATTTCAGATTTAAGGAAGAAACAGAGAAGTGTGGAGCTAAGCAATAGATTTAGCTTTATTGTTCTGAGATGAGCAGTTGGTTCATGAGATTGGTCATAACAAAAACTTCATTTACTATCAATCTCCACTCAAATACATATATTCTTTCTATATTTAAAGTCTTCAGCTAAGTGTATTTTTGTTTTAAGGGTAGCTGCTTGTAACATTATAATGTGATGGAAGGTACAGCAATAATAGTGGGCTGGCAAAGTCTTTCTTGGGCTGCAGCAAATGAGGGCAAGCCCAAACGCAGCAGCTGTGAATGCAGAATTGAAGGGGGAAAAAAACTGCTTCCCTTTGGAAGGTATCAAATACACAGGGATCTCTGGAGAGAGTCCCTCAGCTCCACTGCCAACCCTTACATGAGGTCTGTGCAAGGGTGGATCCTGGCTCCATCCCTTCCATCACTCTGTACATTGCTTGCACCTAAGCTCCCCTGTGCTGGCCCTGCCTTCCCACCAGGTGCTCCATGACTGAGCATCATGACTGAGCATTCCTGCTACACTACACCTGTATTTAACTTTCTTAAATGACTTAGTTTTGACTTTGTTTGCTGGCATACTAGGTTGAATCATCATGTCAAAAGAAAAACTAGTCTTTACATTGTTTGCTGTGTGACTCCTTTAGAATTTCATGAGGATATAGTGGTCAATGGCTTAATGTCCAGATGGAGATCAGTGATGAGTGGCATCCCTTAGGGGGTTATGCTGGGGCTGATACTCTTTTATGTCTTTATCAACGACATTGACAGTGGTATTGAGTTGCACACTCGAAGTTTCTGGATGACGCCATGCCTGATGTGTTGATGTGCCTGAGGGATGGGATGCTGTTCAGAGAGACCTAGATAGGCCAAGCAGTGAGCACAGGAGAATCTCATGTGGTTCAACAAAGCCAGGTACAAAGTCTTGCACCTTGGTCACGGCAACCCCCACTAACAAAACAAGCTGGGGGTCAAAAAAATTTAGCACAGCCTTGCCAAAAAGGACTTGGGGGTCGTGGTGGATGGTAAGCTGGACATGAATCAGCAATGTACCCTCACAGCCCAGAAAGCCAACCGTATCTTGAGCTGCATAAAAAGAGGTATGGTTGGCAGGTCAAGACAAATTATCTTGATCCTCTACTCTGCTCTGGTGAGGCCTCGCCTGGAGCACTGCATTCAGATGTGGAGTCCTCAGTACAGGAAAGACGCAGACATGGAGTGCTTAATAACAGGGTCAGAATATCAACCTTACGTTACGGCATAAAGTTTAAACTTGAGTTATTTTTTTAGTAAGAGCATCCATAAGAAATTTAATGTGTTTATTCCTTTAACAAGCCCACACAGCCAAGTCATATAAAAATCAATTTCTTAGAGTTTTTAACCATGAACCACATGAAACCCTAAACCTAATTCTCCCCTCCTCCCTCCTTTTTTAAGGTTCTTTGCGAAGTCTTTTCTAATGGATGCTTTGTCCTAGCCTATATTTAGGTCATCCTGTCTTTAAAGAGTGAAATATATGCTATAGCATAGGGATTTACTATTTCATTTTTGAAAGCAAAAATTTATTTTTCTTGGAGATGAACACTGCCATCACCACAGCAATGAAAGAATCTGAGATCAAAGAATAACTTAGATTGGAATGGACTTCCGGAGGTCATCTAATCCAACGTGCTACTTAAAGCAGATGAATTAGTGACTTGACATTGTTTTTACAATGGCAACAGACCAGAAAACTTCCAGTTACAAGATGCCATTAAAGCCTTCTTATTTATTTCTGTAAAGATAATGCTTGATGGTAACTCAGTGGGATGACTTTTTCTGCTTCTAACTCTTTGTTTAGCAGCTTCTGAAGTGACTGGTAGTATATCTGAAAGCATAAGTCCTACATGCTGAGTTTATCCTCCCACTTGGTGGATAGCATAGCATGCCCATAAGGGTGCAGTCAGTATATTGAGAACTTTAGAAACTGGATAACCTTTCAGATTTCTGAAAGATTGTTTTATTACTGGGTGAAATTTTTAGTTGAAGGACAACAACCACAGCATTAGAGGTGCCCTCCAGCTATACTGGATGCACCTTTCCCTTCCCCCTCAAGAAAGTCCAATAATTATTTGAAGATCCTGGATTTAGCAATGCCGCACAGCAGAGTAACCCCCTCAGTGCACTTTAACTGAGTATTTCTCCTATTGTTTTCTAGCTTGGCAGTAGCTCAGTAAGAGCCATTGTGGTTTCTTGGGAAGCTAGAAATAAGATTTTAAAAACACTTTGTACAGTTAACAAACGTACAGTTAGAAGAGTGGTGTGGTTAGGATGGTATTTTACAGGTTTATAGTTAGATAATTTTGGTGGAAAGAGACAATCAAAAAATAAATGAAATGCTCACCCATGTCCTAGGCTGGAGTAGAAACTCCAAAGCAAGGAACCTCCAGAAAGAGATTCTTCCCTAATGGCAGTCAGCCCATAAGTGGATCCAGGAGAGGTGCAGCCAGGCTCCAACCCTTGCTGTCACACTGCTGAATTGCCTGCACCTGTGCTCCTGCAGCTGACTCAGCCCTTGCCTCAGGTGATCAGTCAGTGGTTCAGGCCATGACTCAACAGTTCCCATGCACACTTGAATACAGCCTATTTGATAAAGCTCCGTATGTACTCAGTCCAAATACTTAGTTGATTTTTTGAGAAAAACTTTGTCAACTTTTGATTCTTGCCTGTAGCCTGAAGTCATAGAAGAGACTTGAGAGGAAATGAGAAAGGTGCTTGAAAGAGATGCGAATTTATTACTTGTTACGCTAAGCGATTACACAAGTGAGATGTGTGAGGGAGCCTATTAGGAAAGGACGTGTTTGGCCATCTTCATTCTGGTGCCAAAGTCGTGCCTATTTTGTGCCACAAAAATTCTCATAGCAGTCTTGCAAGAGAGCTTTTCATACATCCAGAGCTTACATCAATCACAGCATTCTTCAGAACACAAAGGTAACAAGCAAAAGTATATTTGAGAACTGGTGCCAGTACTGGGGCTTCTGTTGTGATTGCTGTTTAAATCCAGGATCGTGTTCCTCATACAGATGTAACTTTAAAACAGTTGGTTCTCTTTGAGAATTAGATATGTTTGCCTTTTTATCTCTTTCACTCTCTTGTTTTTGCCTGGAACTTCATCTAAAGGAGGTGACTTTAACAAAAGCAAAATTTGTTAAAAAGAGAGAGTGGATTTGAAATAAATAGATTCATCATGACAATTACATTGTTTTTCATTATTCTCATTGAATGCTACGTTCGCAGTCTGCTGTTTTATAAAGGAAAGCAGGACTTAAACTTTCTGAAAGTAGGCCGCTTGTTAATTACTTTGGTTAGCTTGTCAACTCTTCTGTCAAATAGTTGAACTCCTATTCTGCCTTAAATGCTGACTTACAAATTCCTTCTATCCTCCATATTTCTCAATGAATTTTATTTAGTTATCTATATTTATCTAAACGTCCAAATTGACAGTTTTCTCTAAAACATGCACTGCTGTTGCTTTTAAAATCTGTTTTTCCAAGGCTCCATTATGTTAGTTCATCCTTTCATAGGTCACCTTGATGCTTACTTTGACAGACCTCTCAATAGGATTCCTTGAACACTTCTGATATAAGACAGAAACTGTGTGTATCCTGACTTTCTGACAAAATGCAGTAGAATCCATCCTTGATTTTAGAATTTTCAGTGCAGTAGATATAGGAAATGAAAAGCACAAAATAATCATTGCATAGAACCCTTCTGCATGTTTGTATTGACTTTTTTTTTTTTTTTTGCATGTCTAGCTGCCAGTTTGCACTAAACTTAAGGAGGTGTCACTTACCAACTCTGGCAATAAAACGTCTCTGAAACAGACTAAAATGGTTTGTATTAGAGTTTGTACATACAGGAACTCCACACCGTGTTGCTGAAGCAGACAGGCTGTTCATACTGTAGAAGGCGACGAAAAACAGCTTTCTAATGAAAGTTTTGGGTCACTCTTTATTTTCTTAAATCCCATCTAAAATATTAGTAAGATATTCAATTAATTACAGCTGCAAGTGTATAATATGGGAAGTAAATTTTTCATGTGTGGAGATATTGTGGAAGGGAAAAATAATTTAATTTGTGACTAAAGATTCAACAAAGTTGCATGCTTTATCATTATCAGTCTTAACATGGAAATTGAAATAACGAGAGAACTCTATTTACTTGTAAACAAAATTACTGTAGTCAAGTATTTTGCAGAATTTTACAAAACTTTTTTTTTGTTTGCTTTAAAGGATCTTCATGTTGGTGTTGTTTATGCCAGAACATAACAAGCAAGGCAAATTTGCTCCAGTCTTGTGTCATCTTTGTGTAACTAGCAAACACAATGCAATTGAGTATGAAATTCAGGTGACTTTGGAAATGAAGAAAAAGTTCTGAGCTCTCTGACTGGAAGCTGAACGTGATGACGGCCTGGTCTATGGTAGGGAAACTGAAAATGGAGAAGAGGCACTCCAGAGAAGAGAGAAATGTGGAACAAGATGCTGGGGAATGCAGCGCTGAATCTGAGGAATGGACGAGCTCAGAAAGCGAACCTGAGCAACCGTACTTCCGAAGCAGCTGTAGCAATATTCCATGGAGAGAAAAAGAGGCTTCCACTAAACCACATCGGCCACTCTGTCGCTCCCCATGCTTGGATCGCCCAAGTTTTTCACAGAGCAGTATCACACAAGACTTGAAACTAGAGGAATGCAAAACAAATTTGGACAAGGAATACCAAGCTAAAATGGATTTTGCTTTAAAGCTTGGGTATGCAGGAGATCAGATCCAGGCTGTACTGAATAAACTGGGAGCAGATGCGCTCATCAATGATGTTCTGGCAGAACTTGTGAGACTTGGTAACAAAAGTGAATCAGAGGGACAGAACAGCAGTACCACTAATACTCTGGTGCCAAGAGGTCCTTGCCCAAAGGAAATAGCAAGCCCTGAATTGTCACTTGAAGATGAAGTTGTGGATAACAGTGATAACTTGAGGCCAATTGTCATTGATGGAAGCAATGTGGCTATGAGGTGGGTCTCCCTCTTGCAACATATGAAAAGAAGAAAAATGACAAAAAATATTGATGTGAAAAAAATCTATATCGGTGCTGGGGAATTTAACTGTACTATGCTGTGTTTTGTTTTATTCAAGTCCTTAAGCAATACTGAAAAAATATTAATGTCCAGAGGCAATCGAACAGGGGAGTTAAAAATAGTTTAAAATTAATATATGCTGATGGTATGCGCTGGACTTGAGAAAAGTTGAACTACTGCTGATCAAGCCTATTCAGAAGTCAAAGCAATTTAGCAATGTCAGTACAGGGCTATGCATGAGCTTAGCCTGCCGACTCACACAGCTGTGGTACTTGTGAATTCAGATGTGCCTAAGCACAAGGCTACTTGAGTCTACACAACTCAAGCTGTGGTCAACATGGATCTGTACTGGGTCTTATAAGGGGTGGAGTTAATTTTCCCCACAGCAGCCCATGCCATGTTGTGATTTGCACTTGTAACTAGAGCAGCATTGATATTACACCAGTGTTTTAACTGTTGCAGTGCAGTGCTGGCACAGCATCAAGGCCATCTCTCCAACCCCACCTCCCTTGGCCGGTAGTTGGAGGGTGGGCAAAAGGTGGGGAAGGGACATCACCGTTGCAGCTGACATAAATAGACCAAGCAGATATTCCAGACTATGACATCATGCTCAGCAATAAAAGCTCTGGGGAAGAAGGAGAAAGCCAACTGTATCCTGGGCTGCATAAAAAGCAGCATGTCCAGCAGGTCAAGGGAGGTGATTCTCCCTTGTGAAAGCCCACCTAGAGTACTGCATTCAGCTCTGAGTTCCCCAGCACAAGAAAGATGTGGACTTTAAAGTAGCTCTTTAGAGGAGGGCCACAAAGTGGCAGGCCTAGAACACCTGTTCTACAAAGAAAGACAGAGAGAGCTGGAGTTGTTTAATTTGGAGAAGGCTCCAAGAAGATCTTTCAGTGCATAAAGTGGGTTTATAAGACAGACTTTTTTTTTTTAAAACAAGTATATGTAGTGATAGGACAAGGGTTAATGGTTTTATACTGAACTAGAGTAGATTTAGATTAGGCATTAAGAAATTCTGCACTGTGAGGTTGGTGAAAAACTGGCACAGGCTGCCCAGATGGCCCATTCCTGAAAGCGTTTAATGTTGAATGGGCCTTTATGCAACCTGATATAATGAGAGACATCCCTGCTCATGGCAACACAGTTAGACTAGATGATCTATAAAGGTCCCTTCCAACATAGACCATTCTATGATTCTGATTCTCATTATGTACACATTTGTCTTCCCAAGCAACCACTATATGTATTTAGGTCCTGTTTCCCAATAAGTGGAAGAACATTGGATGCTGATGAGAAGCGTTTGCTTCTGTGCAGCCTTTGCTTTTAATTCATTGAACTCCTGTCTCAGACCCACTAGGATTTATTTTTTCCTCCACCTCATTTTCTCCCACCTCTTACTAGAGTGAGTGGGAGAACAACTGCAGTACTTGTCTGCCTATTAGCATTAAGCTACACCACAAACCAAAAAGATATTTTTGTAAAGCAACATCACCAATATTGATTTTACTTTTTTTTTTTTTTTTTTTTAAACTTTTTGTTATATTTTCAGTCTCTGTACTGCCTGAATAACTCCTGAGCACTGTGTGACAGCAACTGGCAAAAATTGTATACTCTTATTACTGCATACCTGTGAATACTCTGTTTATGAAATAAATTATGTATGCATTTGAAAATATAAAAGAATATTATATTCTGTGAAATCCAAAAAGGGTGCAGAAAATCACTTTAGCAATGCTTTTGCATTAATAATTTAAGTTGCAAGGATTTGGAATATGCTGGTTTTCTGTAGGCCTTAGTTATACTTCTGGTATTAGATACCTGACTGGCTTCATCTGTTTCAGTGTTACTTTCTCCAGTGTTTCGAGCCCAAGTAAAACACGTATTCCACTGCACTCCAGTAATCTGTGATGTTTTTCTCCAATAAGTAAAATTTTGATTTATAATCCATAGAATAATACTAGAGACCTCTTCAGTAAGATGCTACTCTCTTAATAATTCAGCATTCTTGTATAGGCTGAGAATACCAGAAAAGTGAAAGAATAATAAAGCTTTTGCCTTCAAAAAAGCTGCATTGATCATGCAAATTGTAGCCTTTAAGGTAAAAAAAAACAAATTAATGGTGCCTATGTAAGAACACTTCCACTTTCAGTGTAGATTCTTTCTTGAACATTTTTGGGGGATGCTACACAGAACCAACAGCTTGTCTCTGGATGGTTATGACAGCTGGATACTGCTACAAACAAATGCCAGTTGCTTTAATCTGTGGGAGGCATTCCTAGCGTTTCGTGTAGCTACAAGAATCTCCTTAATTACACCAATTGCTTGGACTACTCCCACACGTTGGGGCACCTATAGGAAAGTTCTCTCCTGTATTTCTCACTGCTAGCTCGTTCTCTCGGTTATTTCTGGTAAGAAGTGTCACATGGCTTTCATAGCATTCTGGAACGCTCCCTAGGAGCCCTACTCAACCATTCTTTGAAAGCAAGGACACTGCTCCTCAATGCAGCATCACTGAGCTGATTGAATTAATGCCTTCTGTAGCAAATGGAATAATCTGAATAAATTAATATAGAAATCCCAGGGAGAATATTGAACTGGACAGCTCCAATGCTGTGTCATAGTTGACGAAAAACTGCAGTTGTCTTGAGGAAGCAGACAGTTCTGAATGAAAACACTTTGAGAAAAGCACATCAAAGAGCATAACATTGCCTTACCAGTCTGCTCTCTTCAGATGCAATTTTAAAGGTAGTTCACGTTGCTAACTAAAGTGTGACAAAGGGGGATTATTATTTTTTTCTTCAGTAAGAGAGTCAACCTTACTTTTTTCCCTAAGTATTTTTTCTTCCTCAATATCACCATATGGAAACAATATATGCACTCTTTTTTCAGGGAAAGAAAGCGTTAGCTTGAATCTAAATATGAATTCATTCATAATGCAATCTATATGTCTTACATATGTAGAATAAATACTAAGAACATAATATTTACTGTACGTCCTCTCTACAGTTAACAAATGGACAGTTGAAAAAGTAGCATGGTTAGGAGAGCACTTTACCGGTGTTATAGTTGGAAAGATAACTGTGGTGGAAAAGAGACAATCAAAGAAGAAATGCTCACCCATATCCAAGGATCTAGGCTTGCAGTGGAAAGCTCCAAACAGGAAAGACCTCCAGAAAAAGATCCCTCCCCAGCGTCAGCCAGCCCTTAAGTGGATCCAGGAGAGGTGCAGCCAGGCTCCGCCCTTCCTGGTCACACCTGAATTGCCTGCACCTGTGCTCCCACAGCTGACTCAGCCCTTGCCTCAGGTGCCCAGTCAGTGGTTCAGGCTGTGGCTCAGCAGTTCCCAGTACAGTCCTCATATATTATTCAGGCACTTCTTAACTGTTTTCTGAGAAGTTTTACAATAAACTTGAAGAATTGTGTTTCGTATTTAACAAATCAACCAGTAAGGTAGACTAAATAAGATTTATAATTGATTCTAATTAGTGTCTATCAAATACCTATTTTTTCTTTACAAAAACGTTTAATGCCATTTTATGAATGGAAATGGTATTATACAGCTGCTTCAAACACTCAATTCTGTACAATTGTAAAGACTTAAGTATGTTGCATAAAAGAAGTTTTTGATTAGTTGGAGAAGGGAAGAAAGAGCTTGAAGAACTTTTACAGTAATTTCTCTCTAAAAGAAATAAAGTATTTTTTAATCTAGATGTTTTGAAAGCATCTGTTCCTCATAACAGTCAGCTTCACTAGTTCATTTATTTTTATTATTGCTAACTTTTTTATAGCGCTATTTTAGATGAGCTCAATTTTTTTGAAGGTGAGTTTTTTCAATAGATCAGCTAATAAAATGAAAAAGTAGAAAAAAATTTTTGTAGCGTGATGGGAAGTGCAAGAATGACAGCAGAGCAGCAGAATTCCAGGCTATAGTAAGGGAGGATTCACTTAAACACAGCAGCAGTTAGCACAGGAACAAATGGGGGAAGAGAGAAGGAGAGAGGGGGGAAAAAAAAAAAAGAAAAAAAAAAAAGCTGCTTTCAGATATACCCCACCTCCACTGCCAGCTCTTAAATAAAGTCTGGAAGGGGTGAATCCTGGCCCAGCCCTTCTGGTTACCCAGGTATGTTGCATACACCTGAGCTCCCCTGGGCTGACTCTTCCTTCCCACCAGGTGCTCCGTCACTGCGTCAGGCCATTACTTAGCATTTCTACTGTACTTTTGCATTAGGGTTATTCTATAACTGTTTTGTATTTGTATGGTCTCTACAAATTCTATTTCCCTTATTTACCTACATCATGACAGCTTTAAAAGGAAAAACAACAACGATAAAACCCAGAGCCGAAACTTTTATGTTTGCTGTTTCTGAGTCTTCTGGTGGTTTTTTTTTGTTTTGTTTTGTTTTTGTTTTTTGTTTTTTTCTTCAGCCATGGAAATAAAGAAGGATTTTCCTGTCGGGGAATTCAACTAGCTGTTGATTGGTTTCTGGAAAAAGGACATAAAGATATCACCGTGTTTGTACCTGCATGGAGAAAAGAACAGTCTAGACCAGATGCACCAATTACAGGTAATAGGTCAAGATTTTCTTTGACTTTTTGATTCAAGTAAATAAGCGTGTTACATTAAGACAGAACTGTGTCATTTTTCTAATGAGAACTACATGCTAAGCTGTGGCCATAGCGTTGCTTGCACTCAACTGAGAACAAAACAACTTCACTGGTGAGGAGCAGTTAAGTATTTGCATCTGCAAAAAAAAAAAATTCTTTTTTTGAAATATAACTGGATTATGTCAGCACTCTTAAGAGGAGATACAATTTTAGCAAATATTGTTAAGCGGACAGAAAATAATTCTTAGTTCCTGGGCTAGTAGAAAATAAGTAGTATCTGGCCAGGGACTCTTTTGTTAGTGCTATCTTGAACACTGAAGAAGCAGAATATATTTTGACCCCATTTGTAGTACTTACGTTTTACTCCGAGCTAACAAGAAGGCAGTAATAACTGAGTTATCATAGAATAGCCTGGGTTGCAAAGGCCCACAGTGCTCATCAGTTCCAACCCCCTGCTGTGTGCAGGTCACCAACCAGCAACCCAGGCTGCCCAGAGCCACATCCAGCCTGGCCTTGAATGCCTGTAGGGCTGGAGCATCCACAGCCTCCTTGGGCAACCTGTTCCAGTGCCTCACCACCCTGTGTGAAAAACTTCCTCCTCATATCCAACCTAAACCTCGCCTGTCTCATTTTAGAACCCTTCCCCCTTGTCCTATCACTATCCACCTTCATAAACAGCTGTTCCCCCTCCTTTTTATATGCTCCCTTCAAGTATTGGAGGGCCACAATGAGATTTCCCAAGCTAAACAAGCTCAGTTCCTTTTCTAACTGTTCGTGAAAATGGATATTTACAGGGGAGTACAGTGGTTATGAAGCTTAAATACAGGATATTTACTTAGTGCTTTGAAAGATCAGAAATGTCATTCTCCTTCTAGGTTTTTGTTCGTTTTTTTAAATGAGGATTATATATGCACATAATAATAAAATTATTTCTCAGAAAAGCGGAAAAGTGTAATATTTCATGGGCTGTATTTCTTCACAAACGTTTAAAGAAGTTGCTTAAGTAAACTTATTTTACAGATCAAGAAATCTTACGGAAATTGGAGAAAGAAAAAATTCTTGTTTTCACCCCATCTCGAAGAGTTCAGGGGAGAAGAGTAGTTTGCTATGATGATCGATTCATAGTAAAGCTTGCTTTTGACTCAGATGGCATAATTGTATCAAATGACAACTATCGAGATCTTCAAAATGAAAAACCAGAATGGAAGAAGTTCATAGAGGAGCGTCTGTTAATGTATTCTTTTGTGAATGATAAGTATGTTTTTTCCTTCAAAAATTAAGAGAATTTGCCAATTCTGAACCCTCAGTAAAAGCTGAAATTCAAATTTCATTTCTTTCCCATTAGATTTATGCCTCCTGATGATCCTCTAGGACGCCATGGTCCAAGCCTTGAAAATTTCTTAAGGAAAAGGCCAGTTATTCCTGAACATAAAAAACAACCGTGTCCTTATGGTAAGTGCTTAAGCCATATAGATGTGCTCTGTTCAAAGGTAGGTGAAGCGAGCAATTAATTAACATTTTGGCATTACTAGCTATCCAAGCACCATATCCATCACGCACATATTAATAAAAATAATATAGCAAAAAAATTAAGGCTATCACAGCTTTTTGCTATTTTTTTCTGGTTTGTATTCAATAAAAGAGATTTATAACTACACAAATTGTGTTAGGAATGTTTTATATAGCATTGAGTATGTTGTCAGTATTGAACTCATGAATGGTAGGAACAAAAGTGATGCAGTGATATACCTGGTTACAGGTAGTAGCAGTCTGTGAATGCCTGCACATGTAATTATTCTTAACAATGATAATACAGAAACATTACAATTAAGAAAAAGTGAAAGGTATGAAGAAAAAGGTAGCGGGCAGTAGTATCAATGTTTGATTTATTTAACTTGAAATCACTTTTCTTACAGGTAAAAAGTGCACCTATGGGCACAAATGTAAATATTACCACCCAGAACGGGCAAACCAGCCTCAAAGGTCAGTAGCGGATGAGCTTCGAATAAGTGCCAAATTATCTGCTGTGAAAACAATGAGTGAGGGAGCCTTGGCTAAGTGTGGCACAGGGCCCTCCAGCTCCAAAGGAGAGATCAGTTCTGAAGTGAAACGCATTGCCCCAAAGCGTCAGTCAGATCCAAGCATTAGATCAGTAGCTGTGGAGCCTGAGGAAAAGTTAACAGTAGTCCGGAAGTCCGAGGCCAACTCTGTCCCATCTCTGGTTTCTGCATTAAGTGTACCAACGCTCCCTCCACCAAAAAGCCATGCAGCTGGTGCATTAAATACTCGATCTGCAAGCAGTCCAGTGCCAGGTTCCTCACAGTTCACGCATCAGAAATCCTCACTGGAACACATGTCCAGTGTGCAATATCCTCCAATATTAGTCACCAACAGCCATGGCACCTCAGTTAGTTACACTGACCAGTATCCCAAATATGAATCGTTAGGGGACCATGGCTATTATTCCTTACTCAGTGATTTCTCCAACTTGAGCATAAGTAGTATGCATAACACAGATTATTACGGGGCTGATATGGACCAGGGGATGTATTCTAGAAACTCAAGCCCCTGTCCTGACAATTGCTTAAGCCATACAAGTAATGATTCTTATTCCTCTTACAATGACTTATATCTGGGTGTAGCAGATGCCAGTCCAGAAGATAATGTGAAGATCCACAGACTGACATCGCAAAATCGTCTTCAGCCTTTTCCCCATGGTTACCATGAAGCCTTAAATAGAGTTCAGAGTTTTGGAACTGAAGAGCCTAAACAATCCCTTCGCAAACAGTCTGTTTCCCACTTAGGCCTGCATGCCCAGCATCCAGTTGTTGGGGCACGGTCCAGTTGTCCAGGAGAATACCCTGTGCCTCAAAATATTCATCCATCAACTGCACAATCAAGCCGTGCCTTGGTCATGACAAGAATGGACAGTATTTCTGACTCACGGCTTTATGAAAGTAATCCTACAAGGCAGAGGAGACCACCTCTGTGTCGAGAGCAGCATGCTAGTTGGGATCCGTTACCGTGTGCAACAGATTCTTATACTTATCATTCATATCCATTGAGTAACAACCTCATGCAGCCATGTTATGAACCTGTAATGGTAAGAAGCATGCCGGAGAAGATGGAACAGCTGTGGAGGAATCCATGGATTGGGATATGTGGTGAGCCACGGGAGCCACATGTTATCCCAGAGCATCAGTATCAAACATACAAGAATCTCTGCAATATTTTCCCGCCAAGCATTGTCCTTTCTGTGATGGAAAAGAATCCCCACATGACAGATGCACAACAGCTGGCAGCTATGATTGTTGCCAAATTAAGAACAGGGCGTTGAAATATTATAACCTCTTTTGTATAAATGAGACTATACAGCACATAGGAACTGGTAGAAAAATTATATAAAGAAGGAAGTAGGCAAATCTATTGTAAATATTTTCTAATAAGGTAGGATAAACTTCTGTACACAGTAGTTGTTGTATATGTATTGAGGCACTATTTAAGAGTTGACTGTATTGTAAATTTTAAGATTTTAAAAATAGAGATTTTTAATAGTATTTTACAGGAAGTGCATACCTTGCTGCATGGATAGTTCATGAAGAACTACAATGTCACATTCAGTGTCTCAAAGCTTTTAATACAAAATTATTATTAGCGGTTATATTGCATGTATTAATGTACACTTTCAATTTGATTATAAATACCTAATTGGCCTTTCAAAGCATGCTGTATACAATCCCGGATGACTTCTAGGGTTTCAGCTTTGCCATTTGATGCCGCCTATTGGTACCTCAAATATTGAAGAAAAATAACTTGACAAAAATGATTCAATTTCTAAGACGCTGAATCTCTTTCAGCTTTTGGATGTTAATATTGTTGGTATTTCTTAAATTTCAAAACTGTTCCCCATGAGTTTATTACTGTTACTCCAGTCCAACAGAAGCCAAATGCTTCATTAAATTAGGACCAAAACATTAAGGAATATGAAGGCATGATAAAACTAAAATATGTTTTAACTGTAGCTTCCCTCTTCAGAATTCAGAATCATCTGCTGCTCCAGATGATTAGAAAAGATGAAAGAAAATTGTCAGTTGTGTATGAATTGGATTACTCAGACTCCAATAGCAGGATCTGAAAGTTAATGCAGAAACTCATCTGTATCTACAGCCCTTCTGTGGGCAAGGATGGCATTTAACATGCAAAACGGCCATAGAAGATCAACCTGTGAAAGGAGTGGGAGTGGCTGTTCCTTGAAAAGAGATGCTACAGTTCAGGTTTGTGGCAAAGCTTGCTTGGTTTTGCTCTTCAGATCCATGCAGAGGTGTGCATTTGCCTCATGACCGTTTCTAAAATTTCTGTTTAAACAAGTGAGAAGATTTTGTGTGGCATTGTTTGCTCAACTGGTATTTTGCTCAGGGTGGGAACCTTTGTAGCTAAATGTCTCCAAAAGAGGCGTTTCTTGTTTTTTAAGCTGCACTGACTGAACGCCCTTTTTTGACTCCATTGTATATTTCAACATTTTGAACCATTACTAACTCGATATGTCTCGAGCTAGAACTTAATGACTTCTACTGTAGTTTTTTTCATGAAAGCTGAGAAGGCCTAGTTTATGGCCTTTTGTTTCTTCATGAGAAGGTGTGACACTGCCTAAATGTTTCTTACTGTGAAACACACGGAATGCGAGGCTGCAGTCAGGGTTGTTTCTGGTGTTTTGATAACGGCTTGCATGCTGCTTTCTCACTCTCTGTTTGTCTAAGGAACAAAACATCATCATTTCCATATCTGCATTACTGTATAAATGATTGGTTTGATTCACAATATTGTTCAGTCTATTTATCATGGGCAAAACGTATTCCTGCAGGTCAAAAGCAACAAAGAAAACCATTATAGGTGCAATGACAGTTAATGTACTGATAATAACCACATCATTTCACACATGACAAATATTCTTCTGTTGGTACAAGGAACATATATAATGGCCACATCATTACATATTTGAGTTAACTTGAAGGTGATTTGAGTTTACACTCAGTGTTTAAAAATAACTATGTTTTAACTAGCTGTCACAGTTATTGTCACTGTTAATAGTAAATCTCTGGATACCTACAGTAACTGGAGGAAACAGATTGAACTCTTGACCAGTATCCAAAAACATTTCTTACTAACCACCATTTTAGATTTTTAATTTGCAATTAATTCTTATTCTCTTCTCTTGCATGGTATTAAGCAGCTGAGAGCAATGCCTCAAATAACCAGAAATGACCTTTTGTTTGTTGATACAAATTGTATCTCTTTTTCTTGATTGTATAAAAACTGTTTAAAAAAAAAAAAAAAAAACACACCAAAAAACCTAACAACCCATAAACCTCTAGATTAACTTCAGTATTACATGTTCACCACCATGTTTGTGACACCATGTGTCACACAGAAGTAGCCCATGAGTAATTATGATTTTCTGTTATTTAAAATGGGCACTTATAGTTTATAGATGAGCAAGACAACTTCTCAGAACTGGTTTATTATGTGCACAGATACTGTGTGTACACCTCAAAGCATTACATGGTTATCTTTAGTCTATTAAGCAGATTCATCCTTGCACTAAACCTTATGTAAAAATGTTGCTGTTAACTCATCTGCATGTGTTTAAAATAGTAACAATATAATTACTATAGACCTTGCTTTATTCTAAACACATTAATTTATAATTTATGTAGGCTTAAAATGAAGTTTATTTTGCACTCACATTTTCCATCTTGCATGGAATTAAATATTTGTATGTAAAAACACGTTTGTCCCCTTTTTCTCCCACTATAAAGGTAAGCTATCTTAAGAGGGCTTGGTGGGTGTTTTTGATATTTTAATGTGTAGAAGCCTGAGCAGAAGTTACTGTGTGAAGCTGTGCGTGATTTATGGACAGTCATTCTTGTAGGACTCGTCAACTTGTTTTCATGTTCACGATCTTTGTCTTACTGACAAGAAAAAGGAATTATTCCAAACAGAAAGGCTATGGTACTGCAAACACAGCATGCCATTTCTGTAAGGCACTCTGAAAGCTAATTGTCTTTTTATAAAAAGCTATTTGCATCCATCCTATGCAGAGTTACTGAATGGGCAGTGTAGCCTTGTGGAAATAATTTGCAAACGTTGTGCTTGTTTAGTCCACCTTAGAGGAAATGAAGCTTTTATTCGTGATGTAGTCTTTCCTAACCCACCAGTTAAGTGACAATTCCAATATCTGCATCTGTTCTCAGATATGTTTACAAGCCAATTCAAAACACTGACTTAATCTTCAGCGCAAAAGCTTAGATTTCTTCTTACATGGAAGAGTTGATCTTATTAACACATGATCATAACTGTCTATATTGTAAATATAAGACTCTGTATAAATGCTCTGAGAGCATGGTATTTAGATGTTTTTAAAACTGTAAGTAAGCAGTTCTAGAAACTATATTTTAATAAAATCCAAAAGATTCTAGCTGAGGAACTGCAGAAAGAAAAAAGCGCTAAGATGAAATCGTGCAAGGAAACAGCATACAGCAGCAGAGCCAGTGCTTACTCTAGGCATTCTGAATAACTGATCTTTAGTCTTCAGCTGTACTACTTTCACATAATTTATCACTTAAGAGTGCATAATATTAAATTCTTGATTCAAAACTGAAATGCTTTATTGGAAGTCAGCCTAATTTTGTGTGTTTTTGTAATAATTACATGTTAGTAATATATTAAGTTGTACATATAGAACATTTGACTACTGTTAGTCCTGTTGTTGTCTTATTGAGCTACAGTAGTGGGCTTTATCCGTTTGTAGAATTAAACGTTACTGTTTAATTGTTGTAAAATTTTATAAATCTCTTTGGGTTATTTTGGTTGACCCAAATATAATGTAAGTCTCAATGACAAAATGAGTGAAAAATGGATGTTAAGCCAATATGTGGTATTTAAAAAACACTGTAGTAAGTGTGCAAACGCTCTAGATGCTGCTGCATGGATATCATTCACTAGCATGAGTCTGTTTAGCTTTTTGTAAAAATCTTTTAAATTTAAACTCTTAAAAAATATTAAGTGGGTATATGGTTGCTTAGGCCAAGCAGAAGAATCCTCATTAAATACAACAAAAAACAAAGTATCTGTTTAGGAACAGATACTCTGAATTTTGGCATTTTGGAATTCTTACTGGTAAAGCCAGAACCTGCAAAGAATAAATATGAGCTGATAAGCCTGTTTAAAACTTGGTTGGTTAGTGGTGTGCATGCATACCTGTGATGTCCACCAAGCTACTATCAGGAACATTCAAGGGAACACGTTTTGAGTGCAGTCATTCTAAAAATTCCATGCTAAAAAGAAGGTATGAGTTTCATTTCTGTACCCATTTGCCCCACAGAAATACTGCTTTTTCTTGACTTGCCAAAAGTTAACGTGAAACAGTGGTAGCACCAGACTCCTATTAGACAGATCATGAGATCTGTCATTATTAGCGCTACGGTTCAGCATTCAGCATCAATGCAGCTTTTATGCACCCCTCCATAGGAGGCTGTGTGACAGAGCCATAGGATTGCAATGGTGTTCCTTGCAGTACTTAAACAGGAAAAAATACAGGTTTGCTGTTACTTCAATTACTCTCATGCCAGTGTTTGCTTAGCCTTTGAAGATCCATTATATAGCCTCTATGATTTTGGTCTTTGGTATTTTGAAGTTTGTAAACATACTAAAATTATTGAGAGGAATCCAAAACTAATACAGTCTATTACCTGTAGCCTCCCTGCTCTGTGTAGAAGGTTTGCACAGCTATTTAATACACATGAAATGTTATACTTTATATTTACCTATATAAAACCTGCTTATTTAATAAAACTGAGAGCCACTGGATAATTTGTTTCTAGCCTTTTTTTTTTTTTTTCCCCAGCCCTCTTAAGAGAGAGCCTCAGAAGAGCTTTTTGTCCCCAACAACTGTCACAACACATCCAGGCTATATCGCAACACTCCTTGTTGATTTACAGGAAGAATACCCAAATTGTGAAGTCATATAATGCTCAGCTTCTGTGTTTAAATCTGCATAGAAAAAGGATGAGAGTAAGGATGCTCCATTTTACTTGAAAAAAAGCAGAGGAGAAACTTCTTTGTGTTAATTAGGTCCCACTTCTCATCAATCTTTCTATTAAATCAATTTTCTTCATCTATTTCAACATCTCATCATTTCACTTTTCATGGGAAGGATACAGCATCACAGTGATTTGATTCGAAATTACTTCAACTGTTTTGGGGAAACAAAACAGGGGAAGGAAAATGATATAAAAGGATCACCTTTATCTGTATCTGTATTTGCTCAAACTTCTACCACTACCATGTTTGCTTTCACAATAACCAGGAGGATCCAGGTACTTCAAAAGACAAAACTATTACAAAACATTAAAATACACATATTACAAAGTTTCTTCCATATCTCCCTTTATGGTTAGTCAGAACAGCCCTCACAGACACTTCTACTGAGAAGCATTAGAATCCACAGGATGCTCTTGCTGCTCCAGTTTTCTCCCCAGAACTGTAACCCTTTCTTAGCACAGGAGGTCCATTGGAGAGTGACTGCTCTTATCATTCAGGAAGCAAAATATTTAAGACTTGAACACGCAGGAAAAAGTTACAGTAATGATTCCATTGTTGCATTATGTGAAAGTGATGGTCCCAAGGCCACAGCTTCCTCAGTGACTCTCATTTGCATCATTTATCCTTGCAATCTTATGTAAAGCTCCAAAATAAAGACCGAGAGGGGACCTGATCCAGGTCTATCAGTATCTAAGGTGTGGGGGGCAGAATGGCGAGGCTGGACTCTTTTCAATGGTGAGTGGAGACAGGACAAAGGGAAACGGCCGGAAATGCAGCACAGGAAGTTCTGCACCAATGTGCAAAGGAACGGCTGTACAGTGAGGTGAGGAGCACTGGAACAGGCTGCCCAGGGAGGTGGGGGAGTCTCCTGCTCTGCAGATGTTCAAGACCTGCCTGGATGCAGACCTGTGCGACCTGCTGTAGGGAACCTGCTTTGGCAGGGGGTTGGACTCCATGAGCTCTGCAGCTCCCTTCCAACCCCTACAATTCTGTGAATATTATTATTATTATTATCTTTAATCTCCAGTCCCTTCTAGAGCTTCACTTGGAGGTGGTATTGCAGACAGTAGAAACCTGTCTGGAAAGAAATTTACAGAGGGGAAAAGGCAGACTCAAGCAATTTAAAGCAAAGGAAAAAATTAAGCACTGAAGGAATACATCAACACGGCCTTTCTTAGTCCCCCCTCAGAACACATTTCTAGTAAGCAAACTAATTAGCATTCTGAAAAAGAAATTTTACTGAGTGCCTTTATCAAGGGAGGAGAAGTTGCATATAGCATTTGTTAGCATGCTTTCCTTTTTGAACTGTTGTTTGCATCTCTTTAAAAGTATAAATAGCACATATAATAACAGTGTTAGCACCTAATGAGAACGGTAACTATAAGGAATTAAAAAGATGCCACTGCACAATGCTGCACTGACATTTTCCTGTTTCTGTTTAGTTTCTTAACTACTGCAAGTTATTAGACTGATTCAGACAAAAGCTCTGTCTTAAACCCCTGGAAGATACACTCCAACAAATTATTACAGAGAAATCTTGAAATAAGTGCTTCAACTCCTAATTTTTTTTACAAGTAATTGTAGAAGCTGCTAAGCAACAAGAACATTTAATACAAGTTAACACAAAGAAAACTGAATTCAGGGAAAAAAAGCTGCAAATGCTTGTTCTCATCAATTATCTAAAATAGCAACCAAGTCCATTTCCACATGCTAGCTTATCATGCTAGCTTTACAGCAAAGAGACTTTTCAACCTCAGCAAAGTCATGAATATAAATAACACCAGACAAAACTCACCTTCGTTTGAAATCGTAGCTAGATGAAAATTATAGCATGACCTTATGCTGGCTAAATAATCCAAACTAACAAATGACAACACTGGTGTCACTGAAAGGGAAGGGCTCTCAGTATTATGACCAACAGGAACCAGCAGACCTCTTCCAGAATATCCAAAAGAAAAACAGAATCCATAAAGAACTTTGCCTTCAGTTAGTGATATTTATTAACCACGAAAAAAATTAAACAAAGGGTTTCCAAAACATAATAACTGCATTTCACAAGCATCAGCTAGAGCTAAAAGTTCTTGACAGTGGTTAAGCAGACAATAGCTACAAGCAGAACAACATGCTTGCAAAACTGATTTTATATGGTAAAAAGTAATAAATCCTCATAGAAAAAAAATCCTGGAGTGGCTACTTCCCTGCCACCATCACAAGTTCCTCTCTGTCACTTATCTTGTGCAACATTGAAAGCTGCAGAGCAATTTTCTGTCTTAGAAAAGCTGAAGGCCACTTTTTATTTTATGGAAGTCATTCTGGGTCCATAATAATCCTCCTGTCACAGGAACATTCAATTCTGCAGAGCTGTGAGAAAAAAAGAAATAAGCAGTGAGCTCATATCAGCCAAGTAATTTTGATGCATGTTTAACTTACAAAAACGTAATTTTCCCTTTTTAGCTGAAACATCTGAACATTTACCTACTGGAAGATCTTAGTTTTTAAGCAGCTCATTCAGGAGAAGGCACAGTCTACGGTAACACAGATACCGAAGCACAAACCAAAGGAAAGACCACCACTTGCTAACTAAAGTGAGGGTGCCATGATTCCAGAAACCACCACACAACTTTCATCTGAACTGTCATTTGCTAGGTAGGAATATCAGCTAATCAGGAGAAAACATGCTAACACAGCAAGTAGGCAACATAAAAATAGCCTGTCATGAACTACCGATGTTATAATGCTCTTATGTTTCCTCACAGAAATTAGCCATTCCTGCAGCTTAATACAGAAGTCACAGAAACCAGAGCCTTCACAGAGCCTAAGGGAGGTTATAGTTTGGTATCACTCCCAGCATGCAAAGTCATTTCCAGTTTTAGAAAGTGGTTCATCCTTAAACAGGCATGAAATCTCTTCCTTGCAGAAGTTACCAAATAGGACTGGTCTCACGGATGCCAATGACTCACTAACACCAGCACACCAAGGAACAATTATTTTTCCACAGCATTCCCAGACAAGGCATTCTTAAACAAAATTCAAACAGCAGGTGAAGAACAAAGGTAAGCCATTCCCTACCCAAAGCTTTTCTACGCACAGCAATTTAAACCATGACTTTGTTGTTATATGGATCAGATAAGGGTTCGTTTTATTATTTTTGTTTTACGAGAATGGAGAAAATGAAAGCTCAAATTTAACAATAATGTGTTTTTAAAGGATCTACTTCAAACCTGATGTCTGACAAGGAAGAAGGAAAAAGGGAAAGTCTGCTCCTCCTCTCCATGCTTTTCATATATGCTCAAGGAGAGCTCATGCTGCCCCTGCCACAACCAATCATCCTCCAGGATATGATTATATCCCCTTTCCACCCATCTTTACCCTCCAGCACATACGACCCCTTTCATCTACCCGCTTACACATTTCATCTTTAGGACAAAAAAAAAAAAATCCAGCCATTACTCATGAGCACTGAATGATTAATGCAATTTCTGAAACATCAGTAAAAACCTCTTGATTCAATCCCTGAAGCCACTGCATGTCACCAATTTCCACTCTCAGGAAACAAAGTCATTTCCAACAGCCACTCTGTCCCTACCATCAAGTAGAACTGACACTGGGAGTAAAATGGCACAAGAGCTTACCACAAAAAAAAAAAAAAAAAAAAAAAAAATCCACATGAGAATGACAGCAGCTATTCAAAGCTTCAGAGGTTGCTGCAGTAACCAACCCTACAGTAACCCTAAGCACAAAATCTGAACACCAGAAAAACCATGAAAGAACACAGTCTTTTGCATCCAGGAAAGAAGGACCTGCAAGTTTTTCCAAAGTATCAAAACATCACAGGAATTTGTGTTTCATGTTAAACCAAAAATCAAATCACAAAATTACATCACACTTCTGCAAACAAGACTGAGCTCTTGTTTGAGAGTTTTATAAAATGATCTGAAGCTATACAGTAAAAAAACTCAACGCCTTTTCCAAATGACCAGTACTGGAATAACTGCAATACAGCAGAAGCTGCCGCTCAGAGATGCACAGACAGACAGTTTCTCCTTTGGGGTCAAAACACCTCCTGGACACCACTTGCTCAAATGAAACACTGCCAAGGGCCTTGTAAAAAAAAAAAAAGCGAGCACAGCAACATCATAGATGTCACACCCAGAAAGAATGACCTGATGTTGTCTGGCTGTTGGAAACTACCCAGCATTCAGCCTGCTAACGGAATAGTTTTTGCTCCCTTGTGACTCCTACTCCTCATTACTCTTGACTTCACCTATGTCATTCCTAGGACAGAGACTCGAGACAGACACTGATATCATCTCTGCCTCTAAAACGTACTGCATGAAAGGCACCAAGAACAAGCTTATCACAGCAGAGCAACTGCTTTTCAGGAATGATGAAACTAGGCTATTGCCAAAGAGGGTAACAAATTTATTTCTTGGGATTCAAGGGAGAAGTGCTTTTTCCATAATCAATGCTACCTTGTCTTCCAACCACTATTTTTTTTCTTTCCAAAGGATATGTCTGCAAAGACAGATAATAGTGGAATACAGCATCAAAATTCATTGGGTTTGGCTGAACTGACATAGATGGAAAGTTATTTTGCTTTTTTTCAAGATTCAAGCTATTCTGTTTTGGAAACAGCAAGCTTGTCTTATTTCTGTAAAGTGGTCGATCTAGAAACTACCTAAGACTCTAGCTGGAGTGTTAGAAGTTAAGCATCCTTTAATAGCAGCACTGAATGCGTGAGGGATACTGTCCTCCTATCA